GTGTGTGTATGTATGTATGTATATATGTGTATATATATATATATATATATATATATATATATGAAAAATGGTTTTCAAAATTGAACAAGTAAAAGCTATGTCTCTAGGGAGAATAAATGGAGAAACTTGTCTGCTTACTCTTGTTTGTGTTTTGATTAACGTTTTCTGCTTACTAACACTTTTTTCTCAGCAGTGTATGCACTTGAGGAGTGGGTTTGAAACCCGAGAGGTAACTCCTTCAGCTGAGACTAAAGTGGACTAGGTTTTGAAACCCCCTTTGGCTGAACCCTTTTCTCCTTTAAATTTTTCTTGTGATACTCTTTGTTTTGTTGTTGAGCCTGTCTCAGAAAATTTGTTTATTAAAATGGGAACTTTAAAGGACTTAGTTGCACCTAATATAGGAACCCAAAGAGTGCCTATTGTTTACCCAACTTTGGGTAAACCCCTGAAACTTAATTATGGATTTCTTAATATGGTACTCGAATTTCATTGCCTACTTGGTGAAGATCCTTTTAGACATATTCGTGAATTTATTGTCATTTTTGGTGCCATAGAATCTGAGAGAGTAACTCAAGAACAAATTAAGCCTAGAGCATTTCCATTTTCTCTTAGTGATAGGGACAAGGAATGACTATACTGTATGCCCCCCTAGGGTCATTTAGAATTTGAGAAACTGTTCATAAAGCCTTGAAGAGTTTTTTCCTACTAGCATTAGAACACCGTTTGTTGTTCGTGTGGATGCGCTATAGGTTCGATCTTTTTGTGAGTGGTTCGTTGCACCAATACCGATCTGTTTTTCTGTGAGAAAAGGTATTCTTCTTTACAATAATTTATAGTTTTCTTAATAGGATTTTGGGTGGTAACAACGGTTGGATATAAAAAAAATTGTTTCCCATTGTGCTATCCATGCATGGTTACCCAAAAGTTTCTCGTTGCTGATTCGGTTCCTCGCTATTTCTTGCTACTCTCATCGCGGAAGAGAAAGCCGAGAGAGAACGAGAGACGTGAGATCGTGTGCGGCTATGTGGGGTTTAAGTCCATTAGGGTAGTATTTATAGTTATGGGGTTTCATACTATGTAATTATGTAATATACCTCGATATAAATATGCTTTTCAACCTAACTTGTTCCGAATTCAAAGAATATTTATAATTAACTCTGGGTCTGTCTAATTAACTCTGGCTTGTCTAAGTGGCATTACCCAACACATGCCTCTGTTATCACGCCTAGATACGAAGATGGCCTCAAGACCCGATATTAGCACTGATTCCCTAAATGAAGATGATGGTGCTAGTGATAGACATGCTAAATCTTTCTATAAGACAGATATAACTGTTGGGTTTGTGGAGGCTTGGGCTTGATTTTTGGCCCGGCCCATGTTACGAAACCTAGATGCACTCTTCTTATATATATTGCATACTTGTACTTGTAATCGGCACCACAAGTGAAATAAGAAATTCCTCCTGTTGCAGCCGTGGATTAGGGAAACCGAACCACGTTAAATTCTTGTGTGTCGTTTGTGTTCCGTTTCTCTCTTGATTCTTGCAGATTATTTGTGTGTGTTGTGTGTTTAATTCCCTACAAGTGGTATCGGAGCCTGATTGTTCAACACGAGAGCACAAATTGCGATTTGTCACCTAGGGTTCTTGTGTGAAGAACCGTGTGGATCTAGATCGGGGGTGTGTGGCCGTTCAATTGAGGAGCGCCGCTGTGTAGGCTATTTGCGTAGCGGCAGAAGCTTCTATTCAGAGGGAGGGACGCGCAACAACAAAGAACCACGCTAAGGAGCCGCTGCCGCGCAGGAGCAGCCGCAGTGCCGCCGTAGGTTGAGAAGCCACCGCTGCCGCCGTCAGCCGCGCAGGAGCAGCCGTAGAGCCGCCGCAGGTTGAGAAGCCGCCGCTAACCCAGTCGCCGTCGAGGTCCCAGATCTCCGCCACCGTTTGCGTACAGACCGCCGCACGCAGGAGCAGCGGCAGAAGGAGCCGCCGCTGCGTGGAAGAGCCGCCGCCGTCCTCAGTCGCGCTGCTGGTTCGTGAAGGTCGCCGCCGTCGTCCTGTTTTGCCTTCGCCGGAAAAAAAAACAAAAGCAAAGGGGCTGTTTTTCTTGCTTTGCAGGTTCGGAGAAAAATAGGGAAAGGGATTTTGCTGGACCGAAGAAGAGAAAAAAAAGTTGGGCCGTGTGAGTTTTTTTTGTTTTGGGCTGGCTATTTGTTTTGGACTGGTCTTAGTGGTGGACTTGACTTTCTGATGAAAAAAAATACCAAGATCTGAAATATTTGTACCGGGTATCTCGTCTAGTCGTTTGATATGGCAGAAGATGGGAAGTTCCGAATTGAGAAGTTCGATGGTACAGATTTCAGTTGGTGGAAGATGCAAATTGAAGATTTGCTCGTTCAGAAAGATTTGGACGTGGTTTTGGGTGACAAGCGAGAAAAGATGTCGGATGCAGATTGGGCAGGTTTGGATCGGAAAGCTATGTCCGTGATCCGTCTCTCGTTGACCAAGAATGTTGCGTTCAACATTCTGAAGGAGAAGACAGCAAAGGGAATTATGGAAGCGCTGTCTAATATGTACGAGAAGCCATCTGCAGCGAACAAAGTTTTTCTGATCAGAGAGCTGGTGAACACAAGGATGAAAGAAGGCACTTCAGTTACCGAGCATATCAACAAGTTGAATTCGATCTTAGCCAGACTTTTGTCAGTGGGAATTAAGTTCGATGATAAAGTTCAAGCCTTACTATTGCTATCGTCTTTACCTGATAGTTGGTCCGGAACGGTTACAGCGGTTATCGGTTCAGTGGGACCTGATGAATTTACCTTTGATCAGATTCGAGATCTTGTTCTTGGCGAGGATGTTAGAAGAAAGAGTTCAGGGGAGTCATCTGGTGAATTGCTTTATGTTGGTAGAGGCAGAAGAAATAGCAGAGGAAGTGGGAGCAGGAACAGACAAAGGAGTCAGTCGAAGACTCGTGACAGCTCAGGTGTAACGTGCTGGAAGTGCAAAGAGGTGGGACATTTTAGGAATCAATGTCCGAATGATAAGAAAGTGAACATTGCTGAAAGCTCCGCGAGTGATGAAGAGGTCCTTCTTACTTGTTGTGCGGAGAGCAGTGTAGATTCCTGGGTCATGGATTCTGGCGCTTCATTTCATGCTACCCACAGCAGTGAAGCATTGCAGAATCTGGTTATTAGAGACTTTGGAAAGGTACGACTAGCAGACGATAGAGCTCTTGAGGTGACGGGCATGGGTGACATGGTGTTGAAGACCTCAGTCGGTCTCTGGACTTTGAAGGATGTTAGAGTGGTTCCAGCCTTGAAGAAAAGTTTGATTTCTGTCAGGCAATTGGACGAACAGGGACACGAGGTTAAGTTCAGAGATGGGCAGTGGAAGGTCGTGAAGGGAAATCTTGTCATGGCCCGCGGAAGGAAGAGTGGTTCGTTGTATTTGGTCGAGTTACCATCTGAGGGAGTGACCGCCCCAGTTCAGAAGAGAAACAAAGTCCGGTTCACAGAGTCTCGTGGGCAGAATAAGGTTGTCTATGCAAGAGAGAAACCTAGAGCCACAGGTCAGACTCAGGATGAACGAGCGTGGAAAGGTTCAAGGGGGCCAGTCAAAGGTATTTGTGGCAGTGGGAGCTCAAGAGGCGCTTCAGCCAAGTTGCCTAGAAGACAGTGGGTCAATAGAAACCAGTATTCCAGCTGTTAGAACATCTCCAGAAAATTTCTTGCTGAGTATGGAGAGTGTTTGTTCTCAGGATGTTCCAGGATCCGGCAGTGTGCATCTGCAGTGGGAGCCGGTAGGGACCGAGGACGAGTCAGGGGCAGATTTTGTCGTGACTGATGTGTTAGAGCTTGGGAGAGCTTCAACGGGCCTTTCAGTTGTCTGATGATAGGGCCGCTGCAACAGGAGAGCTGAGGAAGATTACTCGATGTACAAGGAATCGTGGTGGATGGCAGTTGATGACTATCAAGCCTCCAAGTGGGAGAATGTTGGGTTTGTGGAGGCATGGGCTTGACTTTTGGCCCGGCCCATGTTACGAAACCCTAGATGCACTCTTCCTATATATATTGCATACTTGTACTTGTAATCGGCACCACAAGTGAAATAAGAAATTCCTCCTGTTGCAGCCGTGGATTAGGGAAACCGAACCACGTTAAATTCTTGTGTGTCGTTTGTGTTCCGTTTCTCTCTTGATTCTTGCAGATTATTTGTGTGTGTTGTGTGTTTAATTCCCAACAATAACATCATATGATTATTTTGCATCAACAAGTGCATTGTGTGTTGTAGACATTGCACCGGACCAAAATTGGGGGGGGGGGGTGCCAACCATCAATCTTTTTTTTAGTTTTTTCTAGTGCAATAGTGATGTATCGCCATCCTAATGTTTTCAAGACAGAGCACTTGATTTCATGGGAAGAAACTACACATATTGCTGGCTTTGTCTCATATTTTTTTAATATCTCAAGAGGCAGGTCGATTACAGATAGGTTGCCAGATGGGATTTTTTTGCGTCAACTTTACATCTCCTGTCCAAAAGTATGAGTGGGAGCCTCCACCTTGAGAACAATGTGGTTTTTATAAATAGAGATCCAACTCCTCTAGAAGAATTAATCAATAAACAATATAAAAACAATAATCCCTTCTCATCTCTAGATGACACGACTCTACCTTGCGTGTCTTTCCCCTCTCCTCCTCGTCTCAATTTTCTGGAGCTCATAGACATTAAAAGTTCTTCCCTATCCAATACGAGTTTGTATTAAATTACTAAAGATTTTTTTACTAATATATCCAAGTTGGGCACTATAGATTTTTTACTAACATATCCACGTTGGGCACTTTTGACATTCATGCTCTAACTTGAGGGGAGTAATTAATATCATTCACTAGAAAAATTGAGTTCTTCTGGCATCAAATTTTGCCACAAATACTTTGTGTAGCAAGGTATTTGTGGCAGATTTTAGAATCATTTAATTAAATAAAAAGATTATTTTGTAGAAATTTTTATGTAGTTTTGAACAGTGTGATTTATAGTTTTTATTTATAATTTATCAATCAATATTTATAATTAACTTTGGGTCTGTCTAATTAACTAATTAATTATTTTTAATTAATTAATTCTTATAGGTCGTGTTTCGGGCATTACAGTTAAGCTACTAACGACTAGTTAACAGGAATGGCCTGTTTTGTGCAACAAAATGAAAGTTCGGATTATTTATGATGAATATTTTATTTAATGTTTTTTTTTGAATTTTTGCTTAGATTTTAATAATGATTTTCTACCTAACGTCCATCAATTTTTTAAATATTAGTCTTATCTCAACAAAAAAATAAAACCATAGATATAAAAATAACAAAATCATCAAAACAACTAATACCATACAAAATTAATGAAATAAAAATATAACTAATAAAATTTAAACTCAAACTGATAAGAAATACAACTAAAAAATATGGAATGATAGTTTCTAATGTTTTTGACACTATACGGATGGATTATTAATGTTTTACTTCCTCCCGTCGGTAACAAATCAAAATAAAAAGAAAAAAATGAATTAAAAAAATTATTTTTGATCTTATTAATACCCTGAAAAATGGAAAGAAAAATAAAAACTAAAAAATTATTTTCTTACTTCAACGTATTTTCATTTTAGTTATTTCTTAATAAGATTTTTTTAGGGTTTCAATGAGAATTTTTTTATTTCATTTTTATTTTCATCATTTACCAGTAGGAGGAAGTAATATATTAATACTCCGTATAGTGCCTAAATGTTAGAACTCCTCACTCCGTTTACTTCAATTTTAGTTTTATTCCTAATAAGTTGAGGTTAGTTTTTATTGATATCTTTTTATTTCATTAATTTTCTACTCCCACCACCACATAAAACCCTTCATTTTTGAACAAAGATGCACCCTTAAAATGAATAATTTTGGTATTATTTTCTAATTTTCTCTTACTTTATAATGGAGTAGAATGAGATATGTTAGATAGAGGAGTCATAATTAGAAAATAACATCAAAATTACACATTTTAAAAGCGTGCCTTTTTTTTAAACAGGAAGAGTTTTATGGGACGAAGGGAGTACGTTTTATGTTTTTTTCTCATTTTCATTATTTTTTACATCTATTTTTATATTTTTTTCATAGGTAAGACTAATCTTTAAAAAAAGGAAAAGAAATGGAGGGAGAAAGTCATTTTAAAAATTTAAGGGAATTTTTTTTAAAAAAAATTAAAAAATAGATAATTAATCAAAAATAAACAAATCTTTCATTTTAATTTGTTGCGCAAAACATGTTCTATTAAAAATAAAGTTGAGGTTATTATGCATCACAATGAAATGTCATATTATTTTTGAAAAAACGAGTAAAGTTAAGATTATTTTAGATAATTTTTCCTTACATTAATCCTACTAAGCATCATTTCATATTAATAACACATACACGTCCAGCACTTGAATTCGATCATCGATGATAATTACGAGCATGTTTATTTTTTTCTTGTGGAACATTAAATCGATTTGCACAGAAGATCTCTAGAGTATTTCTATATATATTGTCCACAGTTCGAACGCTCTATAGATAATGCATTAATGCATGTGAAGGGTCATTTTGTAGGACACGTGTCTCACCATAGAAAACATGCATCAGGTTGTAATTAATTAATCTCTAATGTTACAAGACAATTAAATACTCCGTACGTAATGCAGTAATGAATAGGAACGTACGAAGTACTCCGTATAGTAATAAGGAATTGGAAGACGCGTAAAACAACAAGGAATTGAAGAGGACTGGGGCCGGGTTTAGTTATTTATTATGGACGACCCTGGAGAATTATATTATTATTATGGCGAAGGAAATTAAACACAGAGGCGTACGTACAGCTGGTGCTAGCCATCAATATTATATTATATATCGATCCCTCTCGCAACGCGTTTTCCCTTTTAATCCTTATATAATTCATAAATAAAGTTTTTGTTACTCAAATTATTTTTAAATTATTTTATATGAAAAATGATATTAAAATAAAAAAATAAAATTACATATTTTAAAACTACATGAAAAGATGTACTCCCTCCGTCCCAAAAAGATTTACACGTTTCAAAAAAATTGTGTTCCACAATTCCTTACTCATTTCTATTAAAACACCACTTTTACCCCTTACTTTTTCAAACCCTACCTATCACATCATACTTTTTTTCCTAATAATCTACACATCACATCCTACTTTTACTCATCACATCAAGGGTATTTTTGGAAAGTCAACACAAAATTATCCCTCTCTTAATTTCAACTTTAGTCAAAATGGGTAACATTTTATGGGATGGAAAGAGTATAAAACTAGAGATGACATGATTATATTATTTTATCAAATTGAACACAAGAATAGAATAATAAAATGAATAAAATTTGACTCTATAATAGTAAAATGAAATTTTATTGTTGGAGGAGGGAGTAATGCTTCATGCTCTCATCATCACACGCCCCAGCCCACCTACCATACTAATCAATGCCGTATCATTGTATGAACGATGAAATTTTGGACAAGCTGGGGCTCAATGAACTAGTGCGCATTTGAGCTTGTTCCTTCCATTATTACAAACCAGCTAGACTCGAACCCGTGCGTTGCACGGCGTAAATAAAAGTTACAAAAATTAGGGAAAAAATTCCATGTTGGAATTCGATAGGATTCAATTAAAATACGAATATACAATGAAATATTAAAGAGGAGGACGTATACAATGATACAAATTGTTGAAACATTACATTATAAGTTTTGGAAAATTTTCTTTATAAACTACATTTGTAGTTTGGTTCATCTTGCTTTGGTCATCATTGCATATCAAGATCTTTAGACCTCTGCGATTTGTGACACATGAAAGCGCTACATAAAGCTGACCATGGCTGAATACCGGCTTCTTCAGTAAAAGCCCAACATGAGACAATGATTGCCCTTGACTTTTATTAATTGTCATGGCATATGAAATCATAATTGGGAACTGTTTCCCTTGAAACTTAAAAGGAATTCTCGTATCTGACGGGGGTAAGCAACAATCGTGGGATAACGACTTCTTGCCTAATATTTTTCCCCATAAGCACAGTAGCTTGAATAAGATGATTACCAAGTCGGGTAACAATCAACCTTGTCCCATTGCACAAACCCGAAGATTGATCAATATTCCTCAACAACATGATTGGGTTTCCAATCTTTAACTTCAACTCATGGTTCGGTACACCAGATGCTCGTATGTTATTCAGAAATTCTGGGGAATGCATGTCCGATAGAAAGTCTACGTTTAAATCTGATTTACAAACTGCATCTGAACTCAAGTAACTTTTAGCTTCTCCGACGTTGTTTAATGATGTCATGTATTCGTTAATTTCATCCACGACTTCTAGTGTTGGTGCGAGGATTGCTCGACTTTGCCAATATGTTGGATCATTTGCAATATTGTGGAAGTCTGGATATGTTGAATTTACTATAGATGCAATTGGATCACCTATAGTTTTTAACAACATATGTTTTGGGATAATGACCTCAGCAACTCCATCATTCTCTTGCCCTGCAAAACCATCACCAATACTCGCAACCCACTCTGCAAATTCTCTCATGCTCTCTAAGTTGTCATCACGAGACATGTGCTGTAGACGCATGTTAGTTGTCAAGCCTAAAACAGTGCAATAATTACACAAATAGGAAGAGTTAATCGTAGCATTAACGATGTCTTTCCTTCTTCCCTTGGGTATGACGGGTAGAATTTGTCGAAAATCTCCCCCAAACACAATTGTCTTACCTCCAAACGGAAGATTGGAATTAGATTGGCAAACTCCACTCATTACATCACGCA